GAACGTGACCTCTAGTCCTTCTAGCAAGGCTAATATCCGAAAGACAGTAAAAGTACGGATACGTGACACCACATAATACACAATTGAAATGTATATATTTTTGTTACTTCGATAATGCATTACTTTAACTTCCGTGCCTAAAGTAATACATATGCTGTACTCAGGTATAAACTATCTGCAACAGTATTAGTAAAATGATGTTAGTTCCGGATAACTCTACGATCTCTACCCTGTGATCTAACTATGATGGGCAATGTTGCTGCTGAACAGATTGCGAATTAGGTATCCACTTGTCTCAGGGAATCAACGATAGATGCTTATATATTATTCGTTTTGCCGATCTTGGCGGTCCAAGTAACTCCAGGCCTACCTATCAACTAGGGGTCCTATCTTAATTCTTAAACTACAAAAAATAAGTGATTTTGAAGGGGCGGATTCGGGCGATGTCTCAATACGCATCAAACTATAACAGCTTTGTTATATCAAACTAACACGTTCATTAAATGCGTGCACCATGTATGCACGTAGCTAATTTATACGCATAATGTATGCGCTATAGCGACTCGAGAAGAACCATCTGGGGATTTGTTTCAAACTGAATTGTATATAAGGATAAAACGCACGAGTCTCTTGGTGAATTCAATAACACCTCTTAAAGGCTACAGTTAATTTGTCTCAGCTTGCACTTGTCATTGAGGGGGTTAGCTCTTAAATTTAGTAGAAACTCTCACGATGTGTTAAGATCTTTGGCGGCGTTGTGCCGTCTACAATCAAACGGCTTCTGAAAGAAAAGGCAGTAGAATACCCCATGGAGCCCCGTGGAGGTCGCATAGTCTGAATAGCTAAATCCGTATTTTCACTGCATCTATATAATAATTACAAACAACTATGGCTGTTGGAAAAGGAAAAATGGAAAACAACCGGGAAAAAAGTACTAGCTACCGGGTGTGCTGATGTGGCTATACTGCCTCCCATCAATTGGCTAGGGGAATCCAAAATACTAAAGCAATACCAAAGATGTGGCCACCAGCAGAATCACACAGCGGTTCTTCACTTCTATTCAACTCTTTCAAAATGTCTAATAGTTACCACTTCGTGACTCTTCGACCTTGGTTCAAACTTGGCCAAGATTATTTTTTCATCCAGACCTTTCCACCGAGAAAATCCAGACCCCTCTATTCATAGAGCCGCATGAAGGAAAAACGAATATCCACTCATTTTAATTCATGCACTTAATATCTATAAATTAAAAACTATGGCTATTATTAGGTTCCGCATTCAACTTTATACTTTACCTACCTAAGTGCAATTTCATTTCGTAGGCTCATAGGGGGCTTGCTGTAAAGGCGCACGTTTAGTTCTGGTTCAACATACTAAACGTGTGAAACAGTCGACAGTTTTCGAGCGCTGCTATTCTAAATTAAGTACGCGTCCACATACAAGGTGTCCACGCTGCTTCACAGCTAAATGCTTCAAGAACCCCTTAGGTTTACGTGGACAGTTTCAGACATAGAACACATTAGCATATTATACTATGGTATATGATCCTTTCTATACAAGCATATATAGATAAAGGTGACACTATGAACCTTAATATTCCGTAATGTAGGTTTGAAGATTCGATAGACTATGTACACGACAAACTAGCGTTTCATTTATTTGTTCAGCCATCCATTTGGTGTATGACATACACGCTAGCGTGCCAGGACTAGGTCAGAAAACCTCAGTATTACTTCAAGTGGCTAGGATATAGGCCGCAGTTAATTTCCCTGCATATATGAATAAATTTGGGCCAGATTATTGGCCTGATCTGCTAACGAATCAAATACGGCCGCGTTTGTTGACGGCGTGTGTAAGAATCCTACAAGTGGCGCTTGGGTTAGTATATTAAAATTAAGTTGCAAACGATCCAACGCGATATTAGACATTCAGATAGAGCTCAGAATTCGTCATAATATCGGAACTGCATTGTCGAGTTTGCATAAGTAGTCAAACACCTGTTACTCGGGTTCTAAGCGGGATTAGTACACGTATCATTGCGTTAGCTAACTATAAAGACATATTTGAGGTGGTCATGTTTCTTTTTATACCTCGCCGCTGATAGTTTTTGCGATTTCCTGATACGGACATATAGCTTAGGCAATCATAAATAAATAACTTTGATTTAAGAAAAATACTCACTCTCATTCGCGTTTATAAATACTTTAAGCTTAGCATTAGGAAAATTACGATGTCCTATTTTTACTTGGTAAGCTGTGGTGACGACTCGGTCTTCCGCTTCAGGTTTCCGGACCGCTTTTAGTGCAAAACCTATTTAGGACCGATTTATTCACAGCAAGCAAAAGTGGCCTTAGATAATAGAAATTGTTAAAGGCATTTCGATGGTCGCACGATTTGAAAAGACAAAAACCGCGAAGAACCTTTTGCCACACTTATTAAGGGACAAAGGGAGCTGGATAATCTGTCTTGTCGTTTTTTCTCCTGCAGGAAAAGATCGATTAGAAATTTCGACACTATCAAATATTCACAATTTTCAGATCAGAAATTCTACGACTTTTTTTCCTTTCAAGGATTAGGCCTATATGGGACGCCTAAGTATTTTTTTTTTTTTCGCAATATGCTTTTTGATGAAGGCTAAAGAAGCAAACTGACCAGTTTATTATTCAATATTAGTTTCGCCTGGCCCAAAGTTATATTGCTTGACGGCAAATTAAACAAACGGTACGTTTTACAGAAGGCACCATATTGCACGTTTACGATAAGGGCTATGAGATAGACGACGAGCTAGCTAAATATATAGGCCATTGTATTTCGAGCATATATGACTAATGTTAATTCTAAGAGCTAAACGGCCTCAGAGTACAGTTGAGCCTAATAGGAATCAGTATAGATCTATATAAAACGAACGTGCCATATCTTTCGTATTCATTGTACCGCATGCCATCGTTGTCAACAACGCATTATACGTGGTTACTTTTAAGAGAAATTTAATCAACTCATTGGCACAACCTATATTATCACGGTCACGGATAATCGTGAATAATTATTTAAGCGGTCACGTTAGCTTTGCATATGCTTATCGTTACTGTTCCTCCTCATTTGAATAAACTGCAATTTTCGGATGTGCCGGTAGCCGTACCATTCAAAGCCCGGCGTCACACTACGAACTTCACGTAAACTTATAATAAAACAGTTATAACTTTTTATCAGCTTAGGCTGTGAGAAATTATTGAAGAAACATCATCTTTTATAACCAAAGTCGCGTTTTTTGTTCTATGAAGAAACGCTTTTTCCCATTACTTCTTTTAAATGGCTCATTTAGTCTTGACGACTCGGGCATAATTGAGTGGGTCTATATGGGCCGACGACATTGGTGTATTCAATTGGTACTTTTTCTGAAGTGAATGTGGGTTAGTTAGTCCGTTTAAAGTAAATAGTAGAAGAATCTTTGTCAAATCTACTGGTATTCTTCTTCTTCATTAACACCGATCGTTTTCAACGATAGCGGTAAGTAAAGGTTGGCTTAGTTCCATTTTCCCATATATATATTCGAATACACATCAACTGCGCCACGCTCAAAGATAAAAGCTACTTCACAGCGATGAAAACGGATTATCGAATTGAGCCATAAAGATGGGGTGGTCAGAAAAAGGCATTTGGATGTATTTGCGAGTTCTAAAACAAGCCTCAAGACCGAACGCATCGAGTATAGGAAACAGCTACGAAAAGAAAGACAGTAAGAAAGCTAGTATCTGCTGTTAGCGTCGCCTGCGAACGTAAGGCCAATAGAAATAGCTCCAATAGAGGCAAGGACAACCACAGTCTAAAATAGACGATTGACGATTAGTATATGCAGCGCAAACGTAGAAGCAGAAGGCTTTGAAATTCTTCTGCTTATGTGTCACGCGCTAGTAATTCTAGCTCGATTATATGGATCTTCAGATCATAGACGGGATAAATATCAGGTCTCTACGACACCAAAGAAGGAAAAAAGAGAAACCGACGCGTCTACAAGGGCCCTCCGAAGGTCAATATTTTTGTTTCACGACACCTTTTACTTAATACGTCTTGTAGCCAGATGTGAAAGTTAAGTGAACAGGGTAAAAGAAATGAAAGACTTCCTGCAAATTGCTACGATTTAGGCGCGGCCAGCGAAACTCTTTAATTTAATTTAAAAATCTTTAATTTATGATTGTTATGAACGACTGGTTTAACCAGTACAGCTTAAGGCGCCGTAACGTTTTCCAGATCATATCTGGCTTTGCACAGTAAAATATTCAGACTTTTTAATAGCTCCGTAATGTAAATACCTAAACGTCACTCCTTGTGCTCAGTCGTATGACGGAACGTCTAACAGCGGAATCCGACGTAAAACCTGAATTGGTGAGCCAGCTGGAACCCAAAAGTTGCAATGTTTTTGTTACTGGAATTCAAGCATCAAATAACGACATACTTCTACCTAATAAGCGATTTCTTAATCGCAGATATCGAGGATAAAGGGGAAATATACGAAATCATATCACTGCCCTCAACTTATTGAATCTATATTAAAAATGCTATGCTTCTATGGTAGGCGTTATATTTCTGCATTGCACAAACTTACAAGAATGGGTCACTTTTGTTCGCGCCAATGGACTGGCAGATTCCAGGAAGTATACAAATTAGCCAAATCATATGACAAGTTCTTATTATCCCTTTACTCCATTTATTACTAACGGCTAGCAGTCATTCATTTGATAAAACCAGGGCCAGTCAATTCAAAGTAGGAGGCGCTTTGAGATACTGGTTGCACAGTGAATCATGTATATGTGACGACCTTTTTACGATGTGGCAGCCTGTAGTATAGTTAAACGAAGTATATCGTATAAAGTTTTAAGATCTGTATGCTCAACGATACATACAGAGTATTTATGCTCGCACAATAAAAATACACAGAGCTATTCCAAAGTCCCGCTTTTTTGTTTTGGTAAGATTTATGAATGCACAAACGACTCCGCTCATTGACTTGTGGCTGAATTGAACGAAACACACAAGTGACCTTTACATGTCCACAATTTATTCTTTGGTTCGTTGACGGACAACAGTAACGGCTCATGGCACGAAGGTAAGGCATACAACATTACGCCTTTAGTTCGTTACGAGTTTACCAGAGCTTAGCTCCGTATCCGAATCCGCCGTACCCGTGAGCAAGGCCGATTCCGTGGCCGTAAGAAGCAAGGGGAGCTGCGTAGGCGAGAGCATGAACGGTCTTTCCAACGATGGCTCCGTGGTTAATGGCCGACGAGTAGCTGTGAGCACGCGCATAACCGGCGTGAACAGCGACGGGTGCAACGATGGGGGCGGTCTGCACAGCCAGGGGGGCGATGGGAGCAAATCCGTGTCCCGCATAGCCGAAGCCGTGTCCGGCCAAAAGACCTCCAGCAGAGGCAGCGGCAACGAGGCCGAAGAGAGCGACGAACGCCTGGAAGCAGGAAAAGTTGGCAATATATCCTCTGATGGCCGTTAATAACTGACTACAATTTTCAAAAATATATGCATTTTTGCGTCTGATCATCCCGAGGATAGACCATAAGCAACGAAATTCAATCAAACTCACTGTTAAAACAACTATAAGGAACATCTTCACTTACGAAGGAATGGGGCATGTTGATTAAGTGGCTGACTCTCGATTCTCTTGCCACGGTGTCTCGACGCTTATATACATTGCTGGGGAGAGGGCCATTGGGTGAGGCCCTGGAATTTATAGTAACAGTTATTGTACACAGATACGATGGGGCAGAGATATTATACGATTGCATTGTAATTATTTCATGAGATAATTTATATGGATGTATCGAACATGTACGAATATATTGCGCCGATAACAGTAGTAAAGTACGCATGCCACAGGTAATTTCTGTTGTGAATGTTACCGTTTGGAACCAGGTGAATGTCTGAACGGAGCTCAAACGAGATGGGCTTTGTCGCATCTCCTAGTTACATATAAAAGATACAACAAAGACGATAGAACGTCATGAAATCCTAACACAGAACGGAAGCTCAACCAGGAAGCAAAGCTGTATGCCACTTACTTTTTTAGTCTCTAAACCCAATTTGGCCAAACTTTCTTGAGGTAAAAGGAATTGCATTCGATATTAAACAGAATCGTGTTTTGAGATACAAATCGAGAAAAAATATGGCTCTAAAGATGACTCAACATATTTTCAAGATAATTTTGTGTCTGAGGGTACGGTAGAAAGATAGAATTTCTAATTACAAGGCGTTTTTCACCATGAATACGCCTAAATTTATAAAAAAAAAACGGTTTATGCCAGACGTATACTCAACTCTGTGAAATTCGAATATGCATAGAAACCGAGAGTATTAAACCTATAACAAAAGCTTACTATATTTTCAATTGCTTCAGTTACTAACAGTAAACAGAGGGTTTCTGGTTATCCATTACAGAACCGGTAATGATTGAAGTACTATTCAACGCGAGCTCACATTTTGATATTAGTAGATTAAGAGGACCTCAGATGACCTCAGGAACTTAAGTATCTTATTCTATACCTCGAATAAATGTCCTATGTTCTACGGTATGTATAAATACAGTTGTGGTCGATGGTGTCTTCATGACGAAAAAGGCAAGCGAGGTCCCCGCTCCCCGTTTTTTTTTTACAGTTGGAGAGATCTTAATCTACCTACAAACATTTCACTACGACATAGAGAAAAAAAACACGATCGAAAATAGACGTACAGAGATTTCTCGTCGCAGGGAAGGCAAGTTAATCGATTATTTTTATTGAGTTAGATGAAAAGATCAGCTGTAGTTATATGATTATCGATAGGCATATTTAGTCCTCTAAATATACTTCCCAGTGTCAAGTAACATGCTGCCCCAGTGACAGCTCGCTACTTAGGGTCGGCACTGATAACGAAAGTTGGCGTCTCCTTATGGACGTTACCCGGAGGAAAAAATGGGCAACTCTAAAAGGTACGCATAAGTCCATAGTTGAACCAGATCTTCATCTGGAACAGACCGTGATTTACGTTTGGTAGGAGTGAAAAGGGCTTTACAAACGTAATTGAAGACCACAACGATCCGTAATTATCTCAACAAAGGCCCGTTCGTATGGAATGAACAAGGCTGTCCAACAGAACGTACGCAATAGGCGAGGCTAATACTTATATCATTGCGCTTACAGACTACTAGTCCTTCGGATTACTGGCAAGTAAACGTAGGAATCGTGCATACAATAGTGAAGCGGCTGGCTCAAAACCTGGCTAACAAAAACAAATTATTCAATATCGGATCAGAAGATTCTTAGCGAGAATATGGTTGAAAAATAGGAGAAGATAAAGTCCTACAACCTAAAATTACTTAATTAAGCATTAATTGAAAATAAACGGAAGTTCTCTAAGCGAGAAAATCTCGAAGACAAAGTATTACAGATTCAGAAAAAAAAAGATAAAATACCTACAAAAAAATGCATAGCATGCTATCTTCAACTGAGTATTTGATTGAAACATGGTTTGCCTTTACTGATGTGAACGACTACTTTTATTTTACATCTTATTGATCTCTTTGGCTAGTCTCAGTCAGTAACCTATAACATGACGTGGACGACGACGATATAATAGACGACCTTAAGATTCTAATCCGAATCCATCGTGCCCGCGAACCAAGCCAATTCCGTGGATGTAAGTGGGCAGCGTGGACAACAGGGTGTACGACGATTGTTATCAACGAGGGCTCAGTCTAAAGGCTTACAAACAGCTGTGCCAGTGGGGACAGTTAACGTGAACAGCTATAGGGGCAATTACAAGAGCAACCTCGTGACCAGTCACGGTGAGACCGCGTCTGCCATAGTCGACGCTGGCCTAAACACCTCCAGGGGAAGCGGCCGCGGAGGGAATGAGGCTGGAGAGGGCCACAACAGCCTGAAAAAAAAGATGGAAAATCTAAAAGATAAAACTTATGTCAATAATTAATAGGAAATCTAAAATAGCCATACATACTCATCGTCATCCGAAGCTTAATGGCTAAAATATAAAGTTTATTCATCTCAGTCAGATTCGTACTTAACAATGCCGTAGATTAGATTAATATCTGCACATCTGATGACTATTTGTCACAATGGAATCAAAAACAATTATGCAAATCACTACGGTAATTTAAATATAATAATATAACTTTAAATACGTAGCCTATTGTGGGGATTCGTTACAGGTGACTTAGTAAAACTGCTATCCGTCTATGGAAAACTCCATAGAATGCTCGCAACCGACTGATCTATCCTATCTAGTCTTACTCTAATTTAACCTTGCTAATGGATCAAGGGGATTGTATCAGAGAACAGCAGTTCAACATAAAACAACATTAGAAGCGAAGCTGATTTAAACCGTTTCTAGTTTTATTGACTAACAGACGAAAAATTGCGTAGACCCTATAGATGTAGCCTTTCAAGTAGAATCAGATTTCTAGCCCTTCCTTGTACATTGAGTTCCGCAATTAAAGGCCCTTGCTTCATATCTTTGTCTAATTTCCGTTATTTTTGAAACGATCACCGGAAACTCGTTTGTTTCTTATTTCCTGATGGCAGTAGCGGCAGCAGCTGCCCTATCGGCTCCATTCGCCGCAGAACAACTCGGTATAAGGAAAAGTTCCACACAGGAACTTCTGATATTTGTTAAGAATCAAGTTATTGCGCTGCGCCGTTTTTCAATTACCGTAACGTGTCTCTCTTGCCATCTTGGTCTACAAACAGAACCGATACAACACAAAAATAAGAACAATCCTGTTTCATTGTAGTACATGGATTTTTTTCGATCGACTTTAATTTACAACCGTCAAAGCGTCATTTCTTCATCTTAATAGCTCACAGTGTTTTTTAGTAAATATTCTATGACTGCTACTGTAGCAGGCAGATCTTAGCATTGTAGCGCAAACTGAATAATATCTTCTTTGTATTCGGAAAGGACGGGTTCAGTTACACAAATCATTGTTCAAGACTAAACAAAATTAATTGAAGAAGAACATAGAATTATAGCAATCGACTATTTTAAAAAGGCAACATATACAATAACGCTTTACACTCCTTTTGTTTGCAGGTCGAGGTGAGTCGACAGTTGTTATCAGATCATTCAGACGCATAATCACACTCAGGATGCCACGTCGATTGCTGGACACTGCGGATATCCTTGGAGTACAAGCAATACAAGAAAAAACCAACAATCCGCGCAGGTCATATTTGTAGCCAATAGAGGGGAAAAAGTCAGCGGGTAAATGTGGCTTACGTTAGCTAGTCTAGTGTATAGAATAATCTGGATCAATTAAGATAGAGTTGATGTCGTTTGCTTGTAACCTGCATGAAAGCCAAAACACATTTGGATAAAATTTTTTGCAAATGTAGACAGAGATACCTTTCCCAAGGTGCTCGTCCAATAAAATATGCAATCACCTCTCTTTGCGCCTTCTTGATACACCTTCTAGCCCGTTCAATCCAATTGCGTCTATCGCGCTTTTGCCTTATAGAAATGTTCTTTGTATTCCTCGAAAAACTCATACAGGCTAGAAAACAGTTTTGACAATCGATTTCATGTAACTTGATAATTTTGAGGAGGGGCTCGTTCGGCGTGAAAATGTCAAGTGGCCTTCGTTGCGTAGGGGGACAAGCCTTTTGCTTTCTCCGGAACTGGTGATTTTAGAAGGAACTGAGCTTCTTCCAGTGCAACTAATGGAAAATGAATAAAGGTCCGGTACGGTAAACAATATGGCAACACCTGTGCCTATTTATCACGAACACCCTGTATAGTTTCTAAAATGACATTTTATCTTTCCATTCGAGCGAATGACAGGCCTGCCTTAGTCTGATATTTGTCAGAAACCCCTTATCTTTGGAGGGGTTTAGCAGATTTAGTTGGCGCCATTGTGGTGACAACGAAGACAACGGTACCTTTAATTCGTCCGGTTCGAGCGGTAAATGTGTGGCAAACAAATGACTGGCGACACTCCCAATGTTCGCGGCGTTTTTTATTCCTTTTTTTGGCCTACAAGGTGATGATCTGACGGTGCTGGGTCGGGGAGAAATCGGGAGGAATATGAGAGGTGGATGGTCTTTCGCTGCGTATGTTAGCCATAAACGTTGTGTATTTGCGCGCATGGATATGTCACCTTTATGACCCAATAAACCCTTTCATCTCTTGCCTCTTAGGTGACAGCCACGAAAGATGTGCGTCGGGATGTATCGCGAACGGAGAATTGGGAAGAACGAGGAAGATAGCTTTGATAACTCGAATAAAATAGAGCCGGCAGCTACGAAAGGGCAATGCCGTGCGATCTGCTGTGAGCAAGTACTCCGTGCATATATGCACTGTGTACAGGTGTGCGCACAACGATGACGTCCTCGTGTCGAAGCCGTGTCATGACTTTCCACCCCCTCAATAATTCTTCTGTGGGAAGGGCTACCTCCAACCCCGTTTACGGTCGTGAGGAGTCCGTCGTCCGCTTCTATTGGTCATACTGCTCCAAGAATGAAACTTCTTACTCTGAGGTTTTCTCGCCTGCTATAACTTCCTTCTTAGCTTAATGGCCAAACGTTGCCTCGGGGCAGGCGACAGGAAGCAGCCGCTTCCCAGGTAGGATCGGTTGGTCGGACAGACAACCGGATAAGGTACCCACACGTGGCCTCATACCGGTGGCAGCAGCAGGCTCAACGACTAGGCAACGCATGGCTGCCGGTAACCGAGTCCTGATTGTGACGAGCGGCAGCGCATGAAGCGGACTCCAATCATGAGCACTGCAGCAAACAGTTTTTGAGTAGTATTGGGCAACGATAGAGCAGAGGTGTCTGTTTCGAGTGTTCGACTACTACCTACTTTGAGCGCCAGTTAGCTATAGCTGAGTTTGCCCCACAGCCAACACTCGGGGCTGTCGCCCATCCACTAGAGAGGGGTCATAGAAAGTACGACAGCAACCGCAACGAGCAAGACGAATCGAACTACGTCTAATAACAGAACCGCTTGTAACCTCCCGTTTTGGGCGACGGTCATCGTGAAAGTCGGCTTTGCGCTCGTTACTTTCGTAATGATTGCAGCTTCGTCATGCCTCATGAGTCCCCATGTTTCAGCTTCGGTTTTTCTTTTGTTTTTTGCTTGGTTTAGAGTACGAAGAATGGCGTCGTACATGACAGTGACTTAGATGACCATTCTTCTGGTCAAAACTTAGCGGACGTCCATTCTATAACGCATTTTACATGCTAGCGTTATGCTCAGACGTATATCGTATACTTGTTTACACTATAGACAGCCATTCAGTAATCGAGTCGATCTATCTTCGCAGTGGATGGCCGCACCGCATAGATTGTAAACAATGCTTGCTCTGTTGAAGCTATTTTCACGTTGATGTTTTTGGTCACAAACAACTTAAACACGCTTGACAGTATGGTATCACGATGCATGGTAATCGATCCGTAAACTGGTATTAATTATATGAAAATACTGCGTTGGAGACATAGGTATTTTTTATATTATGACCTACGTATCAATGCGGTATATAACTTTAGATAGAATATAACGATGTGAGACTCATTGACAATAGACGAATTAATAAGCGTAGATTTTTGCTGATTTAGATTCTCTTATTACCACCGGGACAGAATAAACACCCTGTTAACGATACGATTCCGTTTACGCTACGCTAACGTACTGACGTCGGTTAAAAGTGTAGCAGCGTAGATATGTAAATGTACTTAGCTCGGCACATGTTTTTGGCTTTCGCTTGGATACCGAAATTGTTAATTTCATCGAACTGGTTAATTTAGTTAGTGCAGAAATCTATAGGTGGCCTATTTTCTTTAAGCAAACGGCGTACCTTTTTTTCCCACCAACCGAATTATCAATAAGTCTGTTAGAAAGCGATAACTTCATTTGCCTTGTCTATCCTTGGCTTTCAAAAAAACTTTTAAAAATTTCAGAGAAGACGAACTTTCAAAAAAACCGCACAGACGAGGCTGGCGGGTTAGGAAAATGATACAGATGAATTCACAGAAAAATAGAACACGGCCTGATGATATAGCAAATTTTACTGATCGTTAAAGAAAAAAAAAACCGTAGAAATTACATCTTTTTGTCGCTTACAATAACATAATGTTTTATTGCAAATAACAGATGGGGGTACATTCAGTCGTTGCTATGTCTAATCTAAAATTACGTAAGAGAGGCTAAGTGTTTTAATATCAGTTTTTGGATGCACAGTATCTCTCTCTCTCTCTATCTATGTATCTACGTCTCTCTCTCTCTCTCTCTCTCTCTCTCTCACACACACACACACACACATAGACACTCATATACACATATACACAAACACACACACACACACACTAGATACACATACGCATACACACACACACACATACACATACATACAGCTATTACTATAACAGCAAAATGGTTAATTATTGGCGACACGGGGACAAGTAAATGGTCTACAGTTTCGAATGTCAACCATGTTAAAAAAAGGAAAACGAGACAACTAAGTATAATAACAATAATAATAACAATACATGGTTTTCAGTTGCAAGTTCTGTGCGTCAAATAAATGCATCGTTGATAGATACGTTTTTTTTTTTAAATGCCGTTTCAACTGATCCTAGATAATTATGAAATAATGATAATGGGCCTGGGCGAGCATACATTTGATTCTAATTTTTGGCTAAAACACTAAAAATAGCAACATCATAGATCGTCATAAAGTTGCCGTAACAACAACAACAATGATAACAGTATCATCAGCATAGTAACAACAACAAAAAACTTACCATCATTGTTAAATTATTCAGTGCCAGTTATAGTTGGCACGGTGGCCAATGGCAGCTTCAGCTAGCGGCTGTAATAGAAACAAGATTGTAGCATTTGCCGGCCTTGGGGTGAGCTTCCAGTTTCGTTTCTGTCTGTCGCCTGTTGCTATTCCCGTCGTTATTGCTACCACTGATATCAGTGCGTTATAGCGTTGTTGACGCCACTGTTGAAACGATCACTACGGTTACTAGTATTATCTGTGTGGAGCGCCGACTTGTATTAAACGTGCGCCCCTAATATTGGCTAAGTAAGCAAGGTTGACATATATCCGTAGTCAGATTTCAACCAGGATTTATTAGGACATAGAATTGGATAGGCTTCCTTCCAGGGCGACTACCTTCGCATAGGCAGCGTTCTGGTGAGCTCAATTAGGCCGTGAGTACGATTCACAACTCAGAAACACCCCGTCCTATAGACGATATTCGTTGTAAGCATAGTCGCAAGCACTGTTCCCAATTGACAAGCCTCCTTATCCCACTATTCATTTATAACGGCGTGTATGGTGCCAACTAACTGCCCGATAACGTTTATCAATTATATCTTCGCAGTTACATACAATACGATACAAACCACAGGTATCGCCATAGTCATAGCCAATGCGGTCTTTGTACGATTTTCTAACAAAAAGATTACTCATTTTTGTTATGTGACACATTAATTTTTTGTCGGATTTCAGTCAATTGTTACCAGGAATTGTAAAAGGTAATAGACAGCCAAACGTTGGATGCCCCTTGGTGGCTGGTATCACTCGCCTGTTTGTTGCTGCTATTGTTGTTATATCACCGTAGCAATTATAATGCCATCGGCAATTATCATTGTTATGATATTTGTCTGAAATTCTAATCGGTATAAGTGAAAAGGCCGGACGAGAAGGCATGAATGGTATACGATATGAGCGCTTCGTTACATGCAGACACGAGCACACATAGAGAGAATATCATACCTACCGTATGTGTTGGAGTCAATGAATAAAATAAGCTGCCAGTGAATAAGTAAGGCTTTACTTGTCTCAATGAATTTTTTTCCAAAAATGCCCCTTAAATCAGCAAATGTCATCGTCGACTTATCACGTTCTGTCAGCTGTAAAACGCTCTAGGTTTGAGACTGCTGTGCTATGACAACTGGCAGAACTGAGCACACGTTGCAGGGCCTGCGTTATCCTGCGATGTTACATGCCGTACCGCGCAAGCTTAACAAGTGTCTCTGATAGAAATCGTAGCCGCAGTAATCAATAAATAGTATGAGATAAATGAGGCAGAAAAAAGAACAGGCTGCACAGTGTATACAACCGTCCTTGTAACGACCGTCAGATACAAATAATTACCTATTTTTAAAAAAGGAAGCATACAATTTAAAGCATGTACCATTTTTTTTTGGAAAAATTCCTCATTGACAAACCTGCAAGCTTTCCTACTACTCATAGCACGTGTTCAAATGAAAAGGAAATAGCATATTTTAGCAAAGGGAACCCACCAGCCACACACCGTTTATATGTGGCTTAAGATTTAACTGTAAATAATAGCAAAGTGGACTTCTATTGAATATACGTTGACTTTACTATATACCCCAGCTTTGCCCTTGGTAAAGACCGCCTTTTGAAGAATGACCACTTTGTAAATAAGTCGACAAGGAGTCGAACTATTTAGTATAACGTAAAGGTCTTCTGGGGTAAAGGTACAGCTTCTGATAGCTCCTAGAGGTCATGTTCTGGTCTTATAGTGCATCTTAAAATTAAAAAGACCGTGTCACAATATATGGAGTGTAAATTCTATACTTATAATCCTGCTCTTTATAGTCATGCAAGCATTCGAATGCAGAATACTCCTACGGAACATAATAAAAACACGGGGTCTCTCAATGGTGTTCAATGCTTATATCAATAAATCGTCTAAATATCGTTCAATTTCCTGTCAAGAGTTTGTCAATTACGACTACTAAATCAGAATTCAGAAAAATCAAAGATACACAATGGTACTTACAAAAACGTTCTTTCACCCATATGTATTCAATGTCATGAGGCCTGTTTACCTTATTCAGAACACATGTTGATCCTATTAAAAAAAATTTAATTGCCTACATTTACCCAGAATCATTGTCTGATATCGAACTCGCATCAAGCGGACCACTTTGTAAGGGGCCTATCTAAATCTATATTTGCAAAGAAGGTTAGAGATCACACGTAAGGATTTATCCACACCATTTAGAACGATGTGGTCGTGATCTACAATACCGTTAGTGTTTCTACCAGTTAGACGCTTGCTTTAGAATCTGTTTTTATAAAGCTCTTAATTCCGTTAGTTGCTAACGACAAAACGCAGCAAAACCTATTTAGCCTAATCTCTTGATCTCACAATTGCTCCCCCCTCCCCCCCTCCCCGCTCCATTTGCCTCGTATTATGCCCTTTCCACAAACTTACCTTGCCACCACACCAATGACATATCCTGTGAAACCGAGGCCGGGCCAGAAATCCGAGCCTGCACGTGACAGGGGCCACTGACTAAAAACGTCCGTCCGTTTGCTCCATGACATCGACAGGGTATGCACATACACGTACGTTCAATTTAATTGACAGCTTTAGTATGACCTTTGGATTCAAGGAAAAAGATCTACAAGAGAAGACTTTTTCATACCCGATGCTGTGAACTTTTCCGCCACCCGCCGACTTCATCGTGCCGCTTTTTTTGTTTGCGCGTTCATTTCAGTCCCGAAGTCACACATTATTCCTACTGCTTTCAGTTACTGAGCTGCTATTCAGTTTCAGGATGTTTCTACTGTTATCCTGTGTAACGTCGTTCGTTAATTGCCCTGCTGCGGGAGTTGCCCTTCTGTATGATACCCAAGGGAGGAAGGGATACGTAGACAGCAGTGATAGTAGAATTGTGCGTTTGACAACGCTGGTTTCTCTCGTGCCAAACGATTCTCGGACGGCTTGTGAAAGCCGAGAAGCTGTCGCACAACATTGTTAATGTTAAGGCCAAAAAAGAGCGGATCCATCTCTTGCCCTTAAGCACCCTGTGGACACTGTAACAGAGCATTATCTTTGGAGACTTACAAACGGAATGTCTTGAGAGCAGTACAGGCCGATTAACTGGCGAGAGCGCAAGAATGAAAATAAGGAAAAATGAGAGAAAAAGAAGACGAGCAAACGTACGTAGAACAGGCTGGGTTGTTGCACGTACGACATTGTCGTAGAGCTTCGGAAAGGAAAGGCTACAACAGCTGTCCAAAATTAGGAAACTTGGCACAGCTCAATTGGTGCCTGTGCGATTGGAGATCACTATCGCAGCGTTAGCCAAAAAGCAGAGGCCGTGGAGGACGAAGGGTATTAGAGAGAGAGCGAGAGAGAGAGAGAGAGAGAGAGGGCGTGGAAGCAAAACGAGATAAAAAGAACAGGAAAAGCAACCGGCCAGGCCTTGACTTCTATTGCTGCGAAGGTTGTCTGTAAGTAATTATGATGTATTATCTTGTGCGACGTAGGCTTATTCACATCAGAAAGTTACTCGTAGCCAATGTATACGGGTTGTCAGACTAGCAATAGCTGAACGACGCTTCTTCTAGATAGACAAACGATGTAATTCTCGGCTGACCGGCCGAGTGCTGCCCGCCGAAGTCGAGCAACCCAACCTGTAAAGACAGGCATTCTAACTGAGGGCGGGAGCTTGCCGCAGTTCAACAAGATAGAGACGAAATTGTCAGAACATTGAGAAATCCTGCGTAATATTCCGATCCTTGAAGTGAAATTGCTAAGAGAAAATTCCGAACCCGAAACAGCATCGTACCGTTTGCGTACGCGAAGTTGTTAAGTGACGAGCCCCTCAATTCAGAACAAAAGCTTCTTAAATTGAACCAATAGTTTTGGACAGTGTAGCTATTAAACCATCTTGGCGTGGACATTATAAGCGCGAGGGAAATGTTTAGGTAATGCCTAGACGTTTTTGGCAAACAGCACTGCTTTAAGATAGAGTGATCAACTCAGAAGCAGGAAGTTCCTGGTTCGGGACGTCACTGAAGCACATTCACTTCTCCACATATTTCTTTTTGCTGGATAATTACGTTTGAAGAGCCTGAACAGCGATCTTATTTAACCCTCGTATAGGAGTAGATTGCCTTGATTAGGGGGTGCGGAGGGCTCTGAGCACCTAGAACTAATATATTTGAGAGTTGAATTTTTACTTCTCCAAGAAGCCAATATCTACCCTTCGTTATTCGCGTTCGTATTTAAGAAATGACCGTTTTAATTTGACCACACACCGTCCACTCACGGGGTGAATTAATTAGAGCTTATTTAACAAATTTAAAATTAAAGCTACACTATTCGTATATTGTGTCTACGAGACCATATTTTGTATGTTTAGTATGAATAGTAATGGCTCCTGTTTGTACTAATGAAATGATTATTACTTAAATCGTGACTGGATAGTTCTGAAGATAATCTACTTAGTTGGGCGGGACTCAATTTATTTTATGGTTATTAGCCTGAATTTAGGCTATGAGCATAGCGAGCTACCGCCATTAGCCCGAGGCTTACGGAACAGTTTCATTATACGAGCATAGCATAACTTCACGTTGTAAAACACACAACTTCTGTGACCTCAAATACACCTAAGCCACTGCGTATGCTCTTTCTTCAGCGTTTTGCTCATCTTATTTTGCCATTATGTTGCGGTTGTCAGTGGATTCAGCAAGAGCTAACGCCGACAATTCGATCGGAGCATGCTACCTAACTCCCAAATCCGTTCTTGAGTGCTATAGTTACGCTTGTTACTGCTGTTGTTACAGCTGGGTATATTTTTTGCCATTTCTGTCCCTTCCTTAGCTTATAGGGTTATATGGGTAGTTGCCATGCAGCTGGCCTTGACTCGTTTCAGCTGTTGTTTGAGCTGCTGAAACCGAGGTGGATATCGACTGCTGCATTCAAGCTGCACCATCTGATAAAAAGTGCGGTCACAGGCAGTAGTTCCAACGAGTGGTTGTGCAGTGGCTTCCTGACACTATCCTTCCTACATCCACTTTCGCGTTGTCCCTTCGACGCGCATCTCCTTCGACGTATTCGCATTTTCAGAGGGTTCGCTGTTCATTGGTCTCGACTCATCGGATGTCCTTCAAGGGAACCCAAGAAGAGTCTGCAAGTGAAGGCGTCCGCCTTTTTCCAGCCGAACACCGATTAGACCGCAAGAACAGCGCTATCTTCCATGAATAGAGGAAAGCTCTATATCCATGTCAAGTCGTTCACTAAGGACATCCTGCAAAGTCGAATGAAGCAGCCTCCAAACCCGGATCGCTCTCTGTATATAATAAGCTTCTCTTTTCATTACAAATATCACATGACTTATCGTCTTCTATTTTTCTTATACTATATAGGTTCGTAACGAATTAGTATAACTGCAGTGATACCTTTATCGTTAAGTAGTACCGGATTCATCACTGGCATTAGGTCAAGGACTATCTCACAGACACCTAATCAGTAAAGCTGTTTGCAGATATGCATACGCAGTGCACTTCCTCGTTTTGGGCGACGAATGGGTTTCATTTTTGGCAACTTTGACTATGCAAGTGGCTCACTGAATGAAACTGGCTTACAACCGGTACAGATCGATATCGTCAATTCTCGACCTCGCCTCTTCCTTTACCTTGAAAGGACTGCCGATCAGAATAGAAGATAGCAGCAGCTGAATGTGGAATGTTTCTCCTTCTCCTGCACCTTCGAAGGACTAGAGTTTGTGATGTATGGCAGAACTGGAGCTATCCTTCACTCAGTGCTTAAGGGCAAATTTAAACCCTTTTCCAGCTTCTGCTAAACGCGAGAGTTGCCAGTATAATATACAATAGATAGACCCATAATCCCCTCCCTAATAATATATATCAAAAGGAATTATGTTAAAATACACTATATGGCATAAACGATACTGGCTTCCGAAACTAAAAAGTGTTCTTGTAGCTGATAGTACATAAATCCTGCTTGTGATCCCTAGGGGCCGTCCTTCTGCATCAAATTATTGGTCCTGTTGCTATAGGTAATTTTTCTGGATTTTAATGATAACAAATAGCTACTTAAGCAATCGCAATTGGAACAATTTGATTAGGAGCAATGTTTGCCCTTTAAAGTTGTCTTCCCCCTTTCTATACTGCCATCTTCTGTTGAACTCGTATATGAAGTTAGCGGCTGCTTAATGAACGGATCGGGTACGTCGCTTCGATATGAGGACAACTGAAAGCCATTGTACTTGCAGCGTTTTCATACGACATATACGAAACTCGTTGACTGGCGGGCGGCACAGAACTTCGTCTATAAACGTTAGTGCGAAAGGAACGATATCCTAGAGATATTCGGGGGTTGAGTTCCGTATGTAAGAGAGTGAAAGAGCGACAGAAAGAGAGGGCCACTTGTGTCAGCTTGATGTGGAGGTGGTGGAATCGAAAATGTCGCTTGTAGTTCGTCCATTAAGCCCAGGAGAAGAGTACTGATTTTTCTGGGCGTGTCACGAGCGGCTGCGGGACTCTGTTAATCTGCGACATTAGGACACTAGAGATGTCTTGTACGGAGGCGCATTAGTCGACGTAATGGACCTGAAGAGACACAGCTGCACTCTAAATGGAAGAGAAAGCATGCAATGATACATTTAATTCACACACACACACGAAAAATGCTTATAAGGAAACGCCACACCGAGCATATGTTCGTTTGGCGCACATTTGCATGTACCGGTTTAACACTACAATACAGTGCTTATTACAAACTGTTAATTGTAAAGGTACGTACAGCCAGATCGCCACGACATAGCCTAGATGTCTAATTTAGGTCCAAGTTCAACCTTGTGCAACCTAAATATAGGCTTAGCTAGTCTTATTAGCAGATGAATCACGCGACTAATGGTTTTCATAGCCTAATTTCATTTTGTTGCGATAGTGGATTACGACATTAGCGGTTAAGATAGGACATGACATGAAGAGGAGAAGTAGCGACTATATTTCGAGCTCTTTTTTTTTTTTTCAAGGATGTGTATGCGTGCACATGTATCGCTATCTTCATCGTAATAATGATCAAGTCGTGAGAAACAATAGCTGTTAGCCTTTTATACTATACATGTTTTACGTCTTGTTACGTTATAATTCGCAACAGAAGCGTCAGCTTCTACTGCGAATTAAAGATCGAGCTGAAAGTATCAGCTACGGTTCCTGCCTTCCCAATCTAATCCGACGTCCGTACTACTGGCTATGATCTATCATGACGTCCTGACATAAACTGGCGAGGCCGATCGTTTGCCAGCTCACGCGCTCGATCTCATGTACAAACTGAACCGGGCGCCCTGTCTAGCCGATCTACCACTCTACCAATCATTCTATCACTCTTGCGATAATTTTTCTGGACGGCCAGTCGGTCGGGTGTGGACAATTGCCTTCTTGGTTCCGTTTTGTCTGGTTAACCGGCACTACTACTACTACTGCTAAGCCAGTAGACTGGTTAGTCAATCGGCGATCGGAGAAACTCTCGCTCCCTATCTAAAACTTGCGTTTCATTTTTGGTTCCCCCGATTAGGCGCTGGTCTGTATAGTAGGTTCTTCTTCTACTTCTAAAAATATGTATATCGAAACTTCTTCTTCGCTTCTCTTCGCTCTAGTTCGTGAAACAGAGATGTCGAACTTCTGTTCTGCAGTATGTGCTTGTCGTACGACGTCTGCGAACCACCGCGTGTTAATGGTTGCGCCGCTTTGAATGCGGCGGAATTCAAAGAACTTTACCGCTGTGGGGCTGTGTCCCCCAAGGTCGTCATGCCACTCGATTCGAGCCAGGCGGCGACATCTTGCGGTGTCGCTGGCCAACATCTGGACCTAGCTTTTTGGCAGCACTATTCAGCCTAATGCTAATGAAAGTTGGCAAGGTTCGTCAGAGGTAGAGAGCGAAGTCGTGGAAGGCTTCGCGAGGGGCGGGGAGGGACAACTGAAAGCTGCCAAAAAAATAACACAGACTGTTTTGTCGATAACTATGGAACAAATAGGTGAAATATGCTTGTTTTGTCGTCCCTAGGCGGATCTCTGAGGTAACGTAGCATGATACAGATGCAAATCTATAGTTTCTTGTAAACGTTGAGTACATGTACTTCGTGGTGGGGAGATTGTTTCTGATGACACTAATTGAATGAAGATCGTGGTACAAAAACCCAGTGAACGTTAGGTAACTATTGAATCAACTTGCAATCATTTTATTTTTGCACTTACAAAACATATAAAAAAAAAAACCTGAAGAAGAACATAACTTCGCCAGTTCGCCGCGTTTCGCAGATGCCAGAACAACTTCGGTGAATTCACACTTCGTGAAGGGTGAATGATCTACTTGTGCCATTTCCGTCTTAAAGCGACAAATAAGACTCTGATAACCAACGGAAAATGTATTCTGATTTAAATTTAGTAGTCGATCGACGACTAATCTGATACAGCACAAAAACTGTAATATGAATAAATCCGGCGGCAAATCTGAAAATGCCTACCTGGGCCGCATTGATAACAACAAAGATTCCCAAGTACACGCTGTCGTCTAAATTGCGCCCAGCATTACACCCGTGAACGCCCTTCATGCGCTTTCCGATTACAGAAAAAAAAATGTGTTCATTTTCTATGGTGGATCCAAGAAAAACGCCGTCTTATAGGTTAATATAATATTTAATTTAGCTAATTTTTCCTGGCATTGTGTTCGTGCACTGTCTTTCCCATCGATTCGCGCACCCTCTCTGTTGAGAACGCAATAGGCCACCTCCTTGCAACTAACTATAAATATTGCTCGTGGCCAACGTGGCTGTACAGTTCTTTAGAATCGCACAACAACCAGCGAAATGCGTTCCGCTGTAAGTATTCTTGTATACTACAACTTACTCAAGGACGATTGATCTTGCTAGCCAGCTTGCTCGCCAAGCAGCTACCACACATATGGCCACCTATTATTATATAATAAAATTATCTCTACTGTTACATTATATTCAAGCTCGAATTAACCGCGCTTGCGTTTCCACTAATATGTATGGATAAATACTTTCCTGTAGACGATCGTCGCTCTGTTCGGCCTCGTTGTCGCTGCCTCTGCCGGAGGCCTTTTGGCCGGACACGGTCTTGGCTATGCCGGATACGGAATTGCTCCGATCGCCCCCGCAGCTGTGCACGCCGCCCCCATCGTTGCACCCATAGCTGTTCATGCCGGTTATGCGCGTGCTCACAGTTACTCGTCGGCCGTTAACCACGGAGTCATTGTTGGAAAGGCCGTTCATGCTCTCGCCCCCGCGGCTCCCCTTGCTGCTTACGGCCACGGGATCGGCCTTGCCCACGGATACGGTGGATTTGGATACGGAGCTAAGCTCTACTGAGCCAATTTGTAATGGAAAGCTTAATATTGATTGACATCGGACAGTCCACTGCTTATTTCGGTCGTACATAGCCATCCTCTTAATTACTGACCAAAGAATAAAAGTCTATGTGATAGTTGAACTGGCACATGATAACAACTTTAATTTCCGTTCTCGATTCCAACTTATATTTTAGTTAGTATTTTTCCCCTAGATTCACATATGTCGTTTACCGCGAATCTTTAAAACACGATGCAGTACGAAAGATAGACGTATTGCTGCCTATAATATACGATATATATATATATATATATATATATATACATGGATCGTATATTTTATGGGGACCTCCTTAGTCAACTTACTTGTTTGGAAGTTTTTCATCAGAAGATGCTTTTGCATCACGATAGTAGTGGAAATGCAAATTTGTCACTTTCGGCCAAATGTTTCCAAACAGATTCTATCAGATTTAGGTAACTGCTTGAAATCGCTTCCGCTAAATTTACATGGTGATTTTACATAACGTTACCGGTAAGTGCAATTGTGTCCGTTAACCGTACGATTTTATCTGAACAGCTCCAAATAACTTTCGTCCGCAGAACTGTTTTCTGCAGTTCTGATCATTCATAGCATGTACGGTTCCTGTAACGTAATTTTTTTATTAACAACATCTTAAAAGACGACGGATGCTTGATTTTCTGATGCCGAACTCAATCGTGACTTTCCAGTACCTTGTCTGGCTGTCGTTGATGCTCTTTGGGTTTCGGAATACTGTCTATGTACGTCCTGTACAGTTGTACCATTGCAGAATTAATACTTATCAAACTAATAGCTGGTAGCGTGGATACAGACAGATACTGCTTGTAATTTTGCTAGCCGTCTCATAGAATGCCTAACGGCTTAGAGTTCAACAGATCCACCATTACTATCCATGTTGAATCAGGTTCATATTATATTGGCCTTTTTATTGCTTATGTGTCTTTGAGAATATTGTTATTTAGATACGTAGTCTAAAACGCGAAATATAAGGACGTAGATCTGGGTGGAATCCTCTGCAATAATATCCTTGGACTTCTGACCCATATGTACACTATGAAAAGCATTTTCTTTGTCTAAAAGCTAATTTTGATTTCCTCGTAGTTAGTCAGAATTGTCATACGTTAAACAGTACTAGTTTTTTGGGACACCCCTCTCGAAGGCAGTCCTCTTTATCGTACTTGTTAGTCGTTTGATATCGACTTCTTTGGGCCATTTAAAGGTGTACATCCAGACTGCCTGATATCATGCGTGTGTGGGGTCTACTTGATAGTGGCATTCCGAAAAGATAAGCAAAAACGTTCAATCTAGAAAGATTCATAGAGGCATATATTTAATATATTCTACTCGAGTACCCATTCAAGGTATATTACCGTGCCTCCTCCCCGTCTTGAACTGACGTGGTAACGGCTTTGACTGTCATTGCAGAAGCCCCGGCGCTGCTGCCCCTCGTCGTTTGGGTTTTCTCTGCGTTGATGCTATGCTGATTTATCCATCTGACAAAATGATCTATGAAACGAAAGACGACATTGTAGAGTGGAACAATATGTGCTATACTGAGTTGTAATTTGGCCAGAGGTTTGGCTTGGCCCAAGAGGCAACCCCAACAAGAAGAAGAAGGAGGATTACTCTGAAGTCGACGCTTATTCGGGAGGTGCTCAAGCGTACGAGCCATAAACATCTCGTAAACATGCGGAGCGAAGCCAAAATGTCTGAAACAATTCTACGTAGATCTGCCACATAGGCAGAGCGAATATCCACAGCAGGACGACGGTCTTCCGCATGAGAAGCGAAAAAACAGGCTTCTAGGCAACTTCGGACCATCTACTAGGCGCCCCTGAAAGAAAAAACAAGTTCAAAGTACGCTATTGACAAAATAGCAACCTGTGTATATTGAGCGGTCGGATGTACCGGCTAGTGCCGCTGAAATTTCGGTGGATATTTTGGTACTTTGCAAATATTACTATTCGTTATTTTCTATATTGTACGTCATTATAAGGACTGAGACGCAAGCGATAGCTTAGAACTCACAGAGTACACATGGAGAGGGTTTTCTATGTAAAACCCGTTACCTTTCGTAATGATTGCTCTTACCACATATTAACTTATGAACAGTCCGTGTTAACCAAAAAAGAACGAAGTAGTACTTCGAAAGTCGATATTCATCTATGATCATGCATTATTCGCTCTTGATAATAGGTCTTCTCGTCCCGGCAGATATTGCTAATCACAGATTATATGTATGACCTGTTTCACTATATATTATAGAGGGGATTACAGTTCAATTTTAGCACCATAATTATAAACGCTTCATTTATAGCTCATTTGGCCTTCTTCGTAGGATGCGTCGTCTAAAGCTAGCATATATGTATATACGTTAACGTAACGCGAATCAAATCCTCCGTGTATCTTCTTCTCTCTGTGAAGTCTAAAAGCACTATAAATACCACGTTGATCTTACCATTTATGAATCGGGTACTTCGCATATGTGTACGCCTTTTTATGTAGTAATCTTTTTGAAACTTATCTAAAGTTGTAAGTTTTGAAACGTGGAAATAAAATTAGGATTCGTACTGATTTATATGTATTATCGTTATTGAAATACTATAACTGTATTTTTTCGAAGCGCATTAGCAAGCGACTATGACAAGAAGGTTCGTTTTGTCAATCTGTTGCGGCGCGACAGATAACGCCTAGACGCTATCGTCCAACAATTCAAGACCAGTTAAATTTTTCGTACACTTATTTCTAAATTATATACTTCTGCATAAAATTTTCAAAAATAAAATAAGTGAAGTTATATTTTACTCCCAAAAGTATACTGCAAAGAGGTATAGATATGCGCACTTCTGTCTATTCGTTTGGCCATCACCTGATGTAAATAGATTATACAGTAAATATTCCAAGGCAGGAAAAATAACAGGTAGCGGCGGTAGTAGCTACAAAACGGTGATGGTACTCAGTTAGTGAAGTGAGCTTCCACAGCAGATCTGTAGTATCATTGTAAGGTTGTTCTTACATTGCTGCTCCATACCTGAGTAATACGTAAAAGTTGCCCTCGGAAACGAGTCACCTTTGCGGCCATCAGTGAATTGGTCGCCCGCTTTCCGACACGGCATTAACAACGTCTGTATCGTCAACGAACGACACTGCATTTCGATGTGTCCCTCTTTTTGTCTCGTTCTGTTTCCTCGTTCGCCTTCCGCATTCTCATGGTCATAGCAACTGCTGCTGATTCTCTTCAAAGCCACTCCAGCGAGTGTCGCTCGTCTTCTCGTCCTGCTGGCTCTTTTGTCAGAACCGTTTCGCTAATAGCGCATGTCCCGCCCTATTCGAGCGACTAGGGTAACGTTGAGCGGGGTGCAGGAGAACGCTTCGCGCTTTAGCGTTCGTCCAGCCGCTAAAACAAGAGTGATAACAACGAACAGATAGCGCAAGCCAGAGTCGCAATTTCCCCTGTTTCTTTCTCCCCCGTCTATCCGATCTCGTCATTAAGGAGATCATGTGGGAATATCGGGGCTGTGTGCTGCAGTCGGTAACAAACATAGTACAACAACAATGCGCTGTCGGCATCCATCAATGACCACCCTACATCGACCCCAGTTACGTTCCCACTTAAATCACCTTCATCTCATACCTTAGCTTATTTTTCTATCCCGGTATTGATCCTGCACTGTCCTGTTTCGTCTTGTCGGCACTCGCTTTAGCTTGCCAGTCTGTTGTGGTTGTGCACCTTTGGCCATGCCAACAATGCAGTATTCAATTTGTTCGATTTGTCAATCCAGACCGAAACGGTGCAAAAGTGATTCAGACTTCTGGGTTAGTTAATAAATTGTAAATAACTGAATCTGAACAACGATTTAACAAACTACGTAGTAACTTAAGATAGCAAGCTAGTAATCGAATTTGTTTGAACTTCGTAAAAGTAAGTAACAAGCCAGAAGGTAACTAGCTAATAAATGAATGATGATGTGAATTTTCCTGCTTACGCTGTAAATATATTTTTACTGTTCTGTTACCATGACAGTAGTTAAATATTTAAAAAAGCCTTTAATGACAACATCTGATTTTAGATTGGAGCACTTCTAATTAGAATGTCGCATTAAAATAGCTAAGTTCATATGTGACCTATGAGTAAAGAAAATAACGGAGCAGCTAAAAAAGCGTATGTAGCTGACTGTTTACGGTTGACGGTTACGCTTTACGACGAGTCCTAATGCGGGCGACCTCTACGAAAGGACTGATAGTGCCGTGGTTTACAGATAAAATATTTCGGGATAGATCCGGGTCCTTATCTACAAGCTTACCTAAACTCTGCTATAGTAAAGAACGGAGTGTCCGTAGCGGCTACTTTATTGTCAGCAAACATATATTCAGACAGACAGTCAGAGAGGGGCAATTCTGGTTGTTGCTGTCGCTATACGCGACTCAGGTTTAATGTCATCATTCATTCTACTTTATTTTTCTACTCTGTCCCATCGGGGACGATTTGTCACAGTCTAGCAGTCGTTCTCCGGAAGTTTCCATCTTCAAGCGGCTCCAGGTGTCCAACGGGAGTGAGGCACGTACAGCACGGCTCGCTCTTCCTGGACAAGCTTCTACTGTATATTCTACGTAAAACGAGCAAAGAGAACTAAGTCGACATAGACCGAGAAGTTCACCACTGCTTTGGCGTGGGTAGAACTTACTTTCTTTAGACTATTGGTTAAATCACGAGTGTTGATAATGTTTCAACATCAAAACATGTCTATAGCCCTTTATTGACCTTTTTAAATGCGCTTACAAGATCAAATCTAAATCTGCCCTGCGAAAATCATTGTGCTCGATCTATCCTTTGGCTAATGCCTACTATGGCTGTTGTTACCATATATTGTAGAGTGAAATATGTTGTATAACGGATGTATTTAAAGAATGAAAAGTGTTGTCAGGGAGTGCCGACGCCGATGTTGGTTTCCGCAGAGAGTAGTCCAAGCTACCAAAGAACCCTTTCCCAGCTGCTCAGCTCCAATCCCGGGCTTCCAGGCCATGCGCAGCGCCACCCCACCACCCCCAGAACAACGCAGGACGATTCAGAAAGGAGGAGGGAAAAAAACCACCATTCGTATTAGTTAC